TCTCTGTGTGTGATTGCTGTTTTGTTTGGGTTCTCTGAGTTGCAGAGCCAGAATAAGAGCTCTAAGATCTTGAATTCTGTAGAAGCAGGGCCTGGCGGCTCAGAAGATATAGGGATGTAACAGAAACATAGTAACCCCCTCCTCCTCTTTAGTATGGTAATGACCCCTGCAATTAGCCAATAGCACCTAGCTGTGATGAAAGCAGATGGGAGTAACACAGTGGACCTAGGTTATAAAAGGTCAAATTCTCCAGCAATAAATGCCATTTTGCCATCCATCACATAGATGCCTGTGTTTGCAAATGGACCGAGTGGCCTGGGCATGGCCACCGTGCTGTTCTTGAACCAGGGTGTCTGCCTTGCTTAAAAGGCAACATTTGGTGCCGAAACCCGGGAAGCCAAATTCGAAAAGCGGGATTCAAACCCAGAAAGCTAGGATTGCCTGGAAAACGGGAGCAGCGGCCAGGACAGCTGGACTAGTCCTGGCGAGGGAGACATCCCTGAGACCAGAAGGAAGATGGAAGCACTGATAAAGGTTGGATTTCAATTAGATTGTAAACCTAATTCTTTTACTCTTGCTATTGCAAGGCTTTTGTATATTGGGGTCATAAATCAGCTAGTAAAGATTATCCACCCTAAGGCGTGGGACAGATGTACTAAAACCCTTGCTGAAGAGACCTGGAGGGCGGCAAAAAACTGTCTGCTGGCCACCCCGAAATTTGGGGTCAGAGTGGCCACTCAGACTTCACAGCCCCCAGATGAGAGTGGCTCGGCTGAGCCAAAAGGGGCCCAAGAGGGCGACACGTCCCCTCAATCACCAAATCCTTATCTGCTCTCAGAGAGACAACAGAGAGCAGAAGATTTTTGGAGAAAGTTAACAGAAGAGGCCAGGGGTGCTGCACAAAAAGCCCGGAGGGAACCATCCCCCCAGGTGCCTCAAAATGGCACTGAGCAAAAAGACATAGAGCGGGAAAGGAATGTGCTTAGTGAGAACAAAGAACAAGCACTGGCATTGAGAGATGAACACAGTCGGGGGGATCAGAAAGATAAGGAATGTGAGGAAGAAAGAGAAACTGAAGTGAAAGAGATAAGATGCGGGGGAGGTGGTCAGGGAGAGAGGGGAAGGAATGTAAGGGAGGGGGAAAGGAGAGGAGGGTGGAGCAGAGGGAGGAACAGAGGGTGGAGTGAAGGGAGGAGTGAAAGGGGGGGTGAAGGGCAGAGTGAAAGGTGGGGTGAAAGGCGGAGTGGAGGGTGGACTGAAGGGCGGGGAGAGCCAGGAGGGAGGGAACAGCCTGCCCACAGGGGTTGTAGGCAGGGCCGGAGCCCAACAAATGGGCACGGGAAACAGGAAGTAGTCAGCCAGTCGAGTTCCGACTCCGACCGAGATACTAGTGAAGACGAATGGTCGGGAGACTGAGTCCTTAAAAGAGGAAACAATAAAGATAAACAAGAATATCCCCCTCCACATTAAAAAAGAACTGAGAGAGGATACCCCTCTGTCTTGGTTCTAGAAGACAGGTGTCTGCTAGGGAGAGCAGGAGCCTCCCTTGGGATGAAAGAATGTAGACCCCCTCCCTCCGAATTATTATAAATTTGAAATCAAGGGGCTTTCAGGCAGAGATCTGGGGATAGGAATAACAGTTCTTTACTAGTATAACCAGGCAAACAAACAAAAATTAACTACAGCAATAACAAGAACACAGAACCAGGGACCCCGGGACAGCTCTCTCAGCTGAGATGGGATGGAGGAGAGGTTTTGTTTTTCACAAACCCCTCGGGCAGTCAGTCCCGGTGCTCCTGCAGGGCTCCGAGGAACAGTCGGCTGGAAACAGCAGGGACGAGCTGAGATCCTGGGTTGGTGGCTGAGGTGTATCAGCAGCTCCGCGGCGGTGGCTGCCACACGTCCCAGCAGGACAGGGGGTGCGAGGCCACCAGCCAAGAGGGGAGAAGGAGAAGAAGCAACTGCTCCGTCTGGGTGATGGCGAAAATCCCTTCTCTCTACCGCAGCAGCTCCGCGACCCAGCACACGAACGTCCTTCCCCGAAGCCGAAGAAGCCAGCTAAAAACTGTCTCCACCCTCCTTTTCTGCCCCCTTCCCCTCCTCCCTGGGCCCAGCTACTCTTTGTCCGTTGTCAATCACCCCTAAGTACCGGTAGTTAGGTTGCCCCAGCACATAATGGGTAAAAATTCCCCGGGCAGGCCAGAACGACAAAACAAACAAAAACAAAAAAAAAAGGACACCTAACCCTCAACACCCTCTCACAGACTGGGGACAGATAAGAGCAGCAGGTGCCACCTGGGTCCCCCCAGATGCGCTAGCATTCCCAGTCCGGATGTCTGAGGGGGGACAGAGAGTTTACTCACCAATAAATCCTAAGGAAGTTAAAATGATTGTTAAAGCAATTTCAGAAAAAGGGCTTAATTCTGCCATGGTCACCTCCCTTATCGATGGTCTTTTTGGAGGTGACGACCTGCTCCCTTTTGATATAAAACACACTTGTAGATTGCTTTTCAATGGGGCAGGGATTATTGTTTTTAAACAAGATTGGGAAGACAACTGTGCCAGATATCTAGCCCAAATAACTGGGGCAGACCATCCGCTACATGGCTCCAGCCTGCAGCGGTTAATGGACACAGACCCAGCCATGGTTACATCTCAGGCACAAGCCCAGGGTATGCGGGCCCACGAAGTTATGACAATCACTCGTGTGGCCAGAGAAGCTATTCGCTCAGCCTCTAAGAGTTATTGCTAAGCCATCACCATGGTCTACCATGAAGCAAAACAAAAGTGAGAGCTTTACACAATTTGTAGACAGCCTTCAGTCTGTTGACTCCTCGGCCCTGCCCCCAGAGGCAAAAGGCCCAGTCATAGCAGACTGCTTGCGTCAACAATGCAATTCGACAACCAAGTAAATCCTCCAATCATTACCGGCAGGGTCAAATATCACAGACATGATTAAGCATGTTGTGAGGGAGGAACAGATAGCCCCAATTCAAACTGCAGTCTGCACAGCAATCGCTAACACAATGGCGTGTTTCAAATGCGGCCAGGCAGGTCATGTTGCTGCAAATTGCCCCAAAGGGGGGGGGGGGGCCTAGCAGCGCTCACCTCACAGCAGAACCTATTTAAAGGGCCATGATGGGCTTGTGGAAAAAAGGGGCACCTTGCCAGAGAATGCAGATCCAAGGCTCAGGGAAACGGGAGTGGGAGAGGACAGCAGGGCCACATACAGTCCTCTCCCAGTTGGGATGTGAGGCGGCCCAGCTATGCCAATCCTGCAAGGACCGAGGTGCCCCCAAATCCATTACCCCCCCGAGAGGCGACCACTTTCATGACTCAGCCGGTTACTCAGCCAACCCTGCCTTACCTGCCTCAGGGGCAGCAGGATCACACTTGGTGGACATGACCCCAGGGTGGCCCTGGCAGTAAGGTGTGACAACCCGCTGGTGGTATGGGGGATCTTCCCCCTTTATGACACCTCAGGTGATCAAAGTATCCCCTCTGGGTCTATCAGTATTCCTTTTCTAATTGATACAGGGGCAGATGTCACAGTCATTCCAGAGACAAATTGGCCTCCACTCTGGATATTAGAGGATGCCCCCATGGTAGGCAGGGTTGGAGGGCTGTCACAAGCTCGGAGAAGCACACAGCTAATAGCCATTATACTCCACACAGAAAAAGGGCCAGAAAAAACTATTGCCCTCTTCCCGTATGTCATGACAGGAATCCCAGCCCTGCTAGGGAGAGACGCCCTAGCCTTGCTAAAAGCCAGGGTGACAAATTTACCCTAAGGGCCACTGCCGTGTACCTGCTGCCGCCAATCAGGCTTTCTTGGAAATCATCTGACCTGGTGTGGGTCAAGCAGTGGCCCCTGTCCAAGCCTCGATTAGACGCCCTTCTTGAGTTAGTTAACTGTGAATTACAACAAGGTCACATAGAGCCATCTACTAGCCCGTGGAATACTCCTGTTTTTGTAATCCCTAAATGATCCAGAGAAGGATTTCGCCTCCTCCACGATTTATGTGAAGTAAATAAGAAAATTCAACCCATGGGACCTGTCCAAACACTGTTACCTATGAACTCTATGGTGCCAGAGGGCCAACCTTGTGCTGTTCTTGATATCAAAGACTGTTTGTTTTCTATACCCTTACACAAAGAAGACAAAGAGCGGTTTGCTTTCTCCGTGGTGTTTCCAAACAGCCAGCGCCCCAACCTTCGCTTCCAGTGGAAAATGCTGCCTCAGGGGATGGTCAACTCACCTACAATCTGCCAAATCACAGTCGATCGAGCACTAGCACCAATCTGTCATAGCAACTCGACTGCTACCATCATCCAGTACGTGGACGACATCCTGATTGCTGCACCCTCAGGAGGTCAGGTAGACCAGTTAGTGTCAACAATCACAGAGACTCTGAAAACAAATGGCTTTGAAATCACGAGTGCAAAAATAAAAAAGGGGCCGTGTGTAACCTTTTTGGGGGTGGGGATCACAGGCTCTCACATATCCCCTCCCCAGATAAAGATCTGTTGGGACATCAAAACGCTCCATGACGTGCAGCAGCTGGTGGGATCCCTGCAATGGCTCTGCAACATCGTCTTAATCCCACCTGAGAAGATGGCCCCCCTGTATGATCTCCTGAGAGGGAAAAATCCATGGGAACACAAAGCCCTGACAGCAGAAGCAATGGACTCTCGACTTTATTGAACAGCAGGTATCTTTAAGTTCCCTCGCCAGGTGGAAGCCCCAAGTACCACTCGATCTGTACGTGCACTTCACAAAGGGAGGGGGAGTAGGAGCACTGGCTCAAGGCCCCCCAGAAAAAGCTCACCCAATACAGTGGATAGTCCTGGGAAAACAGATACGTGCATTTTCCCCAGGAGATGAGTACCTCAGCAGCCTCATTATGAAAGGCAGAAAACTTGCCCTGAGACACCTTGGCATTGAATCAGCCAAAATATTCCTGCCTTTCCGCAAGCAACTCTTGACACAGTCAACAGTGATGTCGGAATACCTGGTGACAGCCCTGGTCGGATTCAGCGGAGAGATTCAGTATTCTGCAAAGCCTCCTTGGACTCAGATGTTGGCTGTTGTCGACATGGACCTCCCACAAAAGGTCATAGACCAGCCCCAGCCAGGACCAACAGTCTTCACAGATGCATCCTCAACAACCTCCACTGCGGCTGTGGTGTGGCAATCGGACAACAAGTGGCACTGCGTCAAAGTGACTGATCGTGCACTCTCAGTCCAGCAGTTAGAAATAGCAGCCGTGGTACTGGCATGCAGACTGTTCCCAACAGAGCATCTTAACATTGTAACTGATTCAATGTTTGTAGCCAAGCTTTGCCTGGCTATGTCAGGACCCCGCATATTGACATCTACAGCAGCTCTAATGCTAGAAGAAGCGCTCTCCTCTCGAAAAGGTACCATATCAGTCATCCATGTTAACAGCCACGACCCTATCAAAGGGTTCTTCCAGGTCGGCAACAACAAAGCAGATGCTGCCGCAAAAGGATTGTGGACTCTACAAGAAGCTCGTCAGCTACATGAAACCCTGCACATCGGAGCCAAAGCACTAGCAAAGAGATGTGAAATCTCAGTTGCTGATGCAAAACATGTAGTAGCTTCATGCCCCCACTGCCAAAAGGCACTGCTGTGGTCCTGTGGAATCAACCCCAGAGGGCTAAAAGCCTCAGAGATATGGCAAACAGACTTTACATTGTGCCAGCTGTTGAAACCCCGAGCATGGCTTGCAGTAACAGTGGATATGTACAGCGGAGTAATTATAGCCATGCAGCACCTGAAAACCAACTCCAAAGCAACTATCCAGCATTGGCTAACAGCCATGGCTTGGCTTGGCATCCCTAAGCAAATCAAAACAGACAATGGTGCAAATTTTATCTCAAAGCCGAGCCAGGAATTCTCCTCCAAATGGGGTATCACTCTGGTGCAAGGCATCCCGTGCAATAGCACAGGACAAGCCATCGTTGAGTGAGCAAACCAGACCTTGAAGGCCAAGCTAGAAGTGTTAGCAAAAACAGAAGGCTATAACAATTCCATTCCCCAAGTAGACCAGGCGCGCTTGCTAGCAACTGCACTGTTAGCACTGAACCAATTCCCTAGAGGAGATGAAACAAACAGTCCCTCCCAAAAACACTGGGCCACTCAAGCTCTAGAAGAGGGCCCACAGGTCATAATCAAAAATGAGTTAGGAGAGTGGGAGCAAGGTTGGAGATTAGTACTCACAGGGCGAGGGTACGCTGCAGTTAAAAGAGATGGTAAAGTAAAGTGGTGTCCACTTAAGTCAATAAAACCAGACCTTCAAAATGAGACTGACAAAAACTCTGAAGTTTTGTTTGCAGGACTGGATCATTGGGCGCCCACGTGATGCATATGCTCCAGTGCCGGAAGGAGGCGATGAACCACCAGACAACCCGAAGACGACCAGAACTCCTGAGCCTGTGAAACCCAAGCGACAACGACTTCTGTGTGTTATCTTGCTTTTAGGACTTGCTAGCAGTGAGCAGGTTAGTGCAGAACATAACCCCCATCAACCATTCAGGTGGATCTTACGCTGTGCCTCGAACGAGGTAATTAAAGAGGTAGTCACAGCAGGCACCCCAAGGTTCTTTGTGCTCATTTGAGACATTTTCCCTGGTATAGTAACTCATAACATCCACCCTTGCTTTGAGCTGTACCAGTCATACTGGTGCTCAGCCACCAACCCAGGCAAAGACTACTGCCGACAACTAGGATATTGGTTTTGTGGCTATTTGGGGTGCGAAACAATAGTCCTGAGTAACAGGTGGGCACCACCAAAAGCAGACGAGTTTCTGCAAGTAACCTGGGGCCCAGCAGGCTGTATGCGTCCCAGTTTCAACTCCATAGAGCAAGTGTTTTTTGGCTTTTATGATGACCAATCTAAAGTCTGTCATCAAATGATCATGCAGGTCCTGCAGCCAGCAGATGTGGGCTGGACCACTGGAAGAATGTGGTTGGTATTCTTGCACAAGCCTGGCAAAGATCCCGGTGAAGTAGTACAAATTATCCGACTCCCATCATGACACCTGAAGCAATTGGCCCCAACCTTGTAGTACAAGCTGAGAGCCCATGATATAATAGTCTGTACCCGCTGCATAAGCAAGAAGCTTCTCCCCAAAGATCTGAAGCCACTGCTTTCGATTTGCTCTATCGAATGTTAGATGCCACCTTTTTACCTCTAAATCAATCCAACCCTAATGCCACAGAATCCTGCTGGCTGTGCTATGACACACAGCCCCCTTTCTATGAGGCTGTGGCCTTTAACAACCAGCCGATGTGGTCTAATGCTGAGGCCCCAGTCCAGTGTCGCAGTGAGTCACCTTCTCACAGAATCACCATCAGCCACATGACCGGGCGAGGGTTTTGCGTAGGCAAAGCTGCTGTCGTTGACAAAAAAGTCTGTGCGACCACCATGCAGGTTGACAAGTCTAAGAAATGGGCAATCGCCCCCTTGTCTGGCATGTGGGTTTGTAACCACAGTGGGCTAAGCCCTTGCATCTATACCCAAAGCTTTAACTCCTCTGCTGACTTTTGTGTATTAGCTGCTATCATCCCCAGGGTCCTATACCACTCCGGAGAGGAAGTGAACCAGTACCTTGAGCAAGCAGGCCGCCTTCAGGAAAGAGAGCTGCTGACAGGATTGTCAATAGCAGTGCTGCTCGGCTTGGGAGCGACCGGTGCAGCCACTGGTGTCTCCGCCCTGGTAACCCAGAGTCAGAGTCTCTCTCAGCTACAGATGACTGTAGATGAAGATCTACAGAGAATTGAGAAATCCGTATCTTTTCTAGAAAAGTCTGTCTCCTCACTCTCTGAAGTTGTTTTGCAGAACAGGCGAGGTCTTGACCTTCTGTTCATGCAGCAAGGAGGCCTCTGCATCACCCTGAAAGAAGAGTGCTGCTTCTATGCAGACCACACCGGAGTAGTGAGAGACACCATGGCAGAGCTACGAGACAGACTATCTCAATGGAAGGTGGAGAGAGAAGCCCAGCAAAGCTGGTTCCAATCTTGGTTTGACCAGTCTCTGTGGCTGACCACCCTGGTGTCTACCCTGATTGGGCCAGTTGTGATGATCTTACTTGTGTTAATCTTTGGACCATGTGTTTTAAATAAGTTTGTGTCCTTTGTTAAGAGCCAACTAGAAAGAGTTAACATTCTGTTTATAAAAAGGCAACAGATCCTTTAAAAATACACTTGGTCACCGCATGTGCCTTATGTTTGTTAATGAAAAACTGCGGTGTCTATTTTATAAGTTTTTAGCCTTTTAGTTTAGTATAGTGTACCCTATATTTTACTCAAGTTTATAATATCTACTTTTAAACTTTTTATAATATAGATAAGTTAGATAAAATGTTTAGAGATAGATATATAGAAAATAACATTAGAACTTTTTAAGACTAATACACCTTATATTCTAGCAAATTTGATTAGGGATAAAGAGGGGAGAATATGTAGAAGCAGGGCCTGGCGGCTCAGAAGATATAGGGATGTAACGGAAACATAGTAACCCCCTCCTCCTCTTTAGTATGGTAATGACCCCTGCAATTAGCCAATAGCACCTAGCTGTGATGAAAGCAGATGGGAGTAACACAGTGGACCTAGGTTATAAAAGGTCAAATTCTCCAGCAATAAACACCACTTTGCCATCCATCACATTGATTCCTGTGTTTGCAAATGGACCAAGTGGCCTGGGCATGGCCACCGTGCTGTTCTTGAACCAGGGTGTCTGCCTTGCTTAAAAGGCAACAGAATTCTGTTACTGGTGAAGTGAAGCCAGGGTTAAATGATAACACTTGGAATTATGACATAGTGACCTGCATGGGTAGCTTCCAACCCTGCATGCTTTTCCAGGGGAAGCTGGACCCAGGAGGTACCTCCAGAGAGGGTGGTGCTCACCTGTACCACCTCATCAGCTGTGCCCTGAGCTGGGAGCTGGGACACCAGCAGGTGGAGTCCCCACACTACTTTCCCAGCACTGTCGGGCTTTGGACTCAGTGTGAGTCCACTTGCAGGGACCTGGGACATGAGCCTTGAACAACACGCTCAGAAGAAGGGTTGCAGAAGAGCAAGATGTCAAGTAGAACTTGCTTGATTTATCTCATAAGGTTCTGCTGGCCACTAGAGAGGACAGGACAACCAATTTTCCCTCTTCAGTAGAAGATGGTGTGAGGGAAGGAGGTCTTTTCCCGGGGTGAGCATTATCATCATAGAATCATAGGATGGTTTGAGTTGCAAGGGACCCTAAAAAACAGCTAGTTCCAGCCCCCCTGCCCAATACTGCTCACTAGACCTGGTTGCTCCAAGAATTACTAATGAAGAAATGCTCAAAGAATTATTATTTGTGCTTCAATATATATCCCAAGATCTCATTGCCAGCTCATAGGTTTCGTAGCTCAGAGCTTCAGCATAGCTGGAAAATGGAAAGTAAACTTTATTTATAGAACTGAACTACCTTGTTGTTTTCCTTTTCTCACTGTGGTTCTCACTTTAAAGTCTGGAGGCTGGCTCAGAGACAGTGCCCACAATGATGCTTGAATCAAGACAAGGCTCAATAGTGTGAGCTGTACAATATGGTTCTGCATGTTTGTGTTCTCTTAATGCTTGTGGCAGTTTAGGTGGAAGGCCCAGGATTTTGGATGAATAAATGCATTTAAATGTTAGATCTTTGCACTGGTGGATTTCAGGTCTTCACATCCTGAATCCTCAGGACTTGGATCTAGCAGCTGAAGTGCATCCATCACCTTTAAGACCTTTACAAAGTTCACTCATGCAATTCAATGCAGCATTTGTGCAACAGGATTATGTAACTAGACAGGAAAAGAAAGCTATATGGGGAGAAACTTCAGATTCTCGTGCATCAGCATTTAAATCTGTTCTCAATTTAATTACACTAAATCTTGTCTTGAGCCTTAAGAGGGCACTGATGCCACAGTCTGTCTAAGGATGGTTTGAGATCTCACAGCATGAGCTGCCTGTTCTATAACAAATATTTGGAATAATTCTTGTGTATTTTGCATTAATCTTGTTAAAAGGCCTTTCATAGATGGTTGTCACATTCTCATATGGGAAGTGGAAAAGGTTCTCCGAATAGTAAAGATAGCAAATCTGTGACCTCTGTAAAGAAGGCAGTTCTGAAGTATCCCCAGAGCCAGAACTTGCTATCATTACAATCTGGGATGGCAAAATAATGATGCAAGACTCTGAGCCTTCAGCGGAGGGCATATAGCAAAGGTTTATTAGAAACTGTCGTGGTTTTAGACCAATAACTAAGAAAATTACTTATTTCTTGCTGTGAGATATGGATTAGAACAAGAGCAAAACAGGCATAAAACTTAAAAGGGAAAAAAAAGAAAGTTTATTGACAAACTACAATAAGAACACCAGAATAAACTTCCAGAAAAACCTTTTCATCCCCTGTCTACCCACTATTCCCTTGTTCACATGACAAAAGAGACAAAACCTTTGGAACTTTGATGGTTAAAACAGTCCCAATTCTTGCTACAGTCTTTTCACCAGTCTTTATAGAGAAACAGAAGTTTCTTCCTGTTAATTTATGGAGTTTCTCACAAG